AAATAAATAAATAAATTTAAAATAGTAACTTTATGCCCTGCAAACATGTGCCAATAAAAATAAGAATTACAGCTGGGCGCAATGGCACACACCTATCATCCCAGCACTCTGGATGCTGAGGCCAGCTTGAACTGCATAGTGATGCCCTAGCTCAAAAAGACAAACAATTAAAAATAAAGGTATAGTAACAAAATTCCTGGGCCGGCCAAATAGCTCAGCGGGAGCCAGGGGTTCAATCCCCAGGCCTGCCGTGCTGATCCCACCCCTGGGGCACCCTGAGATGGCAAATGAGCCTGGGCGTGGTGACGCACACCTTATCCCAGCCTTTGGGAGGCTGTAAACAGGCAGGTCACTAGAAGTCCCATCTAGCAATGAGACCCTAGACACCTTGTAGACCCTCCCCTAAAATACAAAAAAAAAAAAAAAAAAATCCTTACCACAGGTCTTCTTTCAGATCTGTGATGAGTAATACAGTGATCTAACAGGCTGTCTTCATCCAATTCCCTCTGACAAAACGGGCACACACACCTAGACGCGGCACAGAATTACAAACATTACTGAAATCATTGTCAACTAGACCAAGAGTCACTTAATTGAAACATTTTTTTTTTTTTTTTAATATGGGGCTGGAAAGATGGCACAACAGTCTAAGCGCCTGCCTGGCAAGCACAAGGACCCAGGTTCAATTCACCAGGCCGTGCCAGCCCTAGAAGCCCAGGCATGCTGTGCAGGCCACTGAAACTGGGCATGGTGGTACATGCCTGAATCCCATTGCTGGGGACTCTGAGACAGGAGGATCACTATGAGTCCAAGCTGAGTCCAAGTTGTGTAGCAAGACCCTGTACCAAAATAAATAAATAAAATAAATGGAGCCAGGAATTTAGCTCTGTGGCACAGTACCTGCCTGGCAAGCGTGAGGTCCTGAGTTCAGTTCCTGGTACCTGGCCCCTGGTGGATTTACTTTCTAATTCTAGTTCTTCTGCTTTGATTTTATTTTTCTTATCCTGGTAATGGTGCTGATACCTATTTTCCCACAAGAAATCTAAGTATGTATCCTAAGAGAAATGTAGCAGAGAAGCAAATACAACACATTTGAAGGAAGCACGGTCATCCGCCTTGGCAGAGGAGCGCCATCTGAGCGCTGAGGAGCTTGGACACCAGCACCACGGCCCCCAGCTGTCCCCGGGTCTCTTTTGTCTTCCTCTCTTTCCCAACTCAGGCAGCATCTCACCTGGACTTGTTCTCAGGGTCTACAAGCATAACTAGAA